CAGACAATGCCAATCCCTGGACCACAGAGATTACTGTCTAAGTAGACAAGAGAAACTATACCAGACAAAGCAAAAAGTATTTTTAAAAGTGCAAAACTTTTTTATGGTTTATATGAAAAGAGATGATTTCTCTCATCGATCCCATCCCCTCAGTCGAGCAACGCCAGCACCAGGACTGACTCAGTGTGTCATCCTTCTGTACTAACAACCCAGCAGAAATGTTCCTCTGGTAACTAACTAGGCACCAGCATTTAAGTTAGTTTCAACACCGATAATCTCTGTGATAGTTTGTATTTCTTTTAGAGCCTCGGCTCTTGGGAGTCATGATTAATATTTATGATTTGTAATGCGATGGTGGCTAGGAGCCCCCTGGCATGGACCAAGACCCATTGTGCTAGGCACTGTGAAAATACAGACCAAAGAGATGGACCCTGCCCCAAAGACCTTGCAGTCTAAGTAATCTCCCCTTTCCTGTCATTCATAAGTTTCTCGCTCTTGTGCAGAAGAGTTTGAAAATGTGAGCCCTAAAGGCTCCGAATCCAGAAGGCATATAAAAAAGAACCCAATGCTTATTTTTAAGATAATCTCATTATTTATGAACACCTGAGGTTGGGGATTCTGATTCTTCCAAGTTAATTTAATTTTTAGTCCCATATAGTAACCATCTACCCTCCCCCGGTGTACTTCCCTGCGTCAACAGATAAATGCATTGACCCAGCTCTCCACTGCTTTGCACCCTTGTACTGGCAACGACCCCTGTCTAACGTGGGTGTAAAGTGGTTGCCATTCTGATCTGATGGGATCTTGCATCTACCATGCACTGGTGCAAATGGCAATAACACAGTGCAGGGCAATGGAGAATCAGGCCCAGGATGTTTGAAAGGTGCTCAGACACTACAGCAACCAGGGCTAATGGAGGCACATAAATGCAACAGTGCTGTGCCTCCCAGCGATGCCTGCCTAGTGCTTTAGTTTTAATTGACTTTTTAAAATTATTTCCTTTCATACTGATGTATAGCAGGGGGTTCCTATGAAAATCCCAGGGCTGGAAGAGAAGCAATGCATGAAATAAGTCAACACATTTTAATGTTTAGACCTTTCTCTGATAGATGCAGGTGGAGCTCATCAGTGGGGGGGGGGGGGGGCAGATTATCCAACAGGTTCACCTCCCCTGTATGCATGCAAATGCTGTGCTTAATTTGTGCCAGGGCTTCCCAGAGCTCAGCCCCAGCACCTCTAGGCTTGGCAGTTCGTAGCCCCAGCACTTCTGGGCTTGCTGCATCAGTTATGAAAGTAAAAAAAAATTGCTTGAGCCCTGGCACCTAATTGCTTGAGCCCCGGCACCTCTTTCATTACAAATTAAGCACTGTTTAAACGGCATGCTGAGCAGCCAGTGTTCTCAATGAGAGCTGCTTGGTGCTAAGCAGTTATGAAAAATCTGGCCCCAGTTTTGAAAAGTAAAGCCAGAATTTTCCAAAGACTCAGTTCAGCACAACGAGCAGGAGATAAACTAAAGAGAAAGTTCCTTAGAGCATTAGGGTGCATTCTAACTCGGATGCCACTGAGGGCTTTTTCAGAGCTAATAAGCATGTTTCTATGCTATGCTCCTCTGTGCCCAGTGTCTCAGTATAGTGACATGTTCCCATGACTTGCCAGGTGTAATTTGATTTACATTGCGGGTCCTATGAAGCACCCCTTCTTAGGTGGTAAAGGATTAACATGGGCTTGGGCTGGTTTTAGTTCCTCTCCCTGTGCACAGGGACCCTTCAGAAAAATTGAGAGAAAAGAGTATTTGCCACTTGGCATGAAGCTGCTTATCTGCCTTCAAAAGTGGTTGTTGTTTTTTTTGGACTGGAAGAAAGGGTTACTTGAGGTGAAAGGAGGTCCGTATGTCAGCAAAACAAAAGCCCCATTCCCTTTCCTCCCCAGAGAGGGGGAAGGGAGAAAGATGCACAAAAGGAGAGAGACAGACACTCAACTATATATAGACAGAGAGGAAGAGGTGTTAGACCCAGACAGAGTTATCCTCTTCACAATTGGCTAGTAAAGCAAGTCTCTGGTCCTATAGTCTCAGCAGAACTTTGGCATGTGGTCTGTTGACAGAAGGAAATGTGGAAGGCAGAAGATGAGAACAGAAAGAGTAACTAGAACTGCAAACTCTTTCAGCTAAGCTAACCAACAGAAAGGAAGTGCTCCAAACCAGCTTCCAGGACTGCAGCCCCTGGAGCACTTGCTAGTGGTCAGCAGAAAAGTAGCTGGTGACATGGTGAAAGTTTATGATCAGCTGCTCAATCACACCAGTGCAGCTAAAAATACATTCTTAATATTACACTGCTGTGCCACTGGGACAGCCAGTCGAGGGACAGTGCATCATATTGTGTCCAGTTCTGGGTATTGTGTCCAGTTCTGGGCACCACATTTCAGGAAGGATGTGGACAAATTGGAGAAAGTCCAGAGAACAGCAACAAGAATGATTAAAGGTCTAGAAAACATAACCTATGAGGGAAGATTGAAAAAATGGGGTTTGTTTAGTCTGGAAAACAAAGGATTGAGAGGGGACATGATAATTTTCAAGTACATAAAAGTTTGTTGCAAGGAGGAGGGAGAAGAATTGTTCTTAACATTTTGAGGATAGGACAAGAAGCAATGGGCTTAAATTGCAACAAGGGAGGTTTAGGTTGGACATTAGGAAAAACTACCTGTCAGGGTGGTTAAGCACTGGAATAAATTGCCTAGGGAGGTTGTAGAATCTCCATCATTGGGGATTTTTATGAGCAGGTTGGACAAACACCTTTCAGGGATGGTCTAGAATCTAGATAACACTTAGCCCTGCCTTGAGTGCAGGGGACTGAAGTAGATGACCTCTCGAGGTCCCTTCCAGTTCTATGATGTTATGCTTCTGTACCACCACGAATTGTAGGTGAGGGGTCCAGGAGACAATCTCAATGTGGTTTGCACTATGAAAGTTTTGGAACCTCCTTCTGCTCCTGTGAGATGAGGCAAAACAATAGAACTGATGCGACATCAGTTGAGCTGACCTAAACCTCAAAGTTCAGATCAAAACACTTTGGGGGTAGAGATTCAGGTTCTTTTCTAAATGTATCAATTCCCCTTCCCCCTGGAAACTGAGATTGAGATATCAATATTTCAGAAAGCAAATTTCCCCTGTATCTCAAAATAAATCTATACAGTTGGTTACCAATTTAGATAGGCTAATTAGTGGCAATTCTCAAAGTCAGATTGGAGGTAAGGGAGGGGAGAATTTATAACAGGGAGTGCATTTGCTATCTGCATCAAATTCATTAGTTCATCTACCTTTACCTCTCCTGGCCATCTTCCTACCAATTATACTTGTCTTTCAGTGTTACTCCTGTAATTAGTTTAAAGCAGTTCAGTCAGCAAGCGAATAGCAAGATGTAAGTATTCTTTAATTGGGGGAGGGAGAAATAGCGTCCTTTGATTGAAACACCTAAACAAGACTCTTGCAACAAATTCAGGGTGCAGCTCTACTGAAACCAGTGGAGCTGCAGCCTCACTGCAGAAATGAATTTGCCCAATGTAAGGCTGAAGGGATGAAGTGTGACCCTGTCTACATGAGGAAAATGGCCTGGTGCTAACCACAGTATGTTCATCCTTCCTCTCCTTTCCCTCCTATACCTCACAGTTGTGGAATCCTTTAGCTGCTAGTATAAATGGGACAAAATGATGTGATATTGTTAAGGAAAGGGGATGGCCTAGACAGTATTTGGTCCTGCCATACGGGCAGGGGACTGGACTCAATGACCTCTCGAGGTCCCTTCCAGTCCTAGAATCTATGAATCTATGACAGTGTGATGTGATTGGGTCTCTATCATACTTCCACTAATGCCGCCAAAGACATTTTTGCCCTATATGCCAGCAGCTAAACAATTTTTTTTTTTTGACACCAGTTGTAGAGCAACAGGGTGGGAAAGGACTGTTAACCACTATTGTCAGCAGTGGGTCATTATCCATGCTTGGGGACTTTGAAATTCACTGGGAGTGGCCTGAAACAGACAAATGCAGACAACCAGAGCTGCACAGATAAAAGGAAAACTGAGTATTTCCTCTTAAATCAATGTATATTGTTATTGGCAGCTTTTGTCCGTAAGCATCAGGTAAAACTGTAAGCGGAATGCCTGATTGGATGTGTGTGTCTGGGTGTATGTACAAGCTTTCACTCATGCAGGGCACAGATTGAGCATGCAGTAATAAGACAATGGCTTGGGAAAATCGTTATGGCCATTGCATTCTTGCACCAGTGTGATCAACTTCCCAGCAATCTCCCTGCTCCACCTCGGATATGGGAGTTTTCTGCCAAGAGAATACTCCTAGCTTAACAGGCAGCTTCCTTTTGACACTTCTGGCACAGCCACATGCATGAAAAACAAGGGCTTCCCCCAGTATGGTAGAGCCTTCATCACACTTGGGGCCTGATTCCCTGGTCTTGCTCCTTGGGTAGTTGCTTATACCTGTACAAAATAGGTGTAAGATGCTACAATTTTGATTTGTGTAGGATTTGACACCTTCCACTTTATACTGGTGTAAGTGATGACACAAAAGTGCAAGAGAGTAGAGAACCTATGCCCTCGTGTCTTATTACAACTGCTAGTGTATTTCCCATAGTCTTCACTTTTTGGGTGGTGCACTGAGCCAGGGTAAGTTATGTTAGATCTAATGCCCGGCACATGGGGATATTGATACCAGAGCATGCAATATGGCACCTCCAGTCAGAGAGATCTTTAGAATGAGCTCTGTCTCCCTGGAAATGAGCTGAATCCTAGTAGTGTGAGCTGCCCACCAGGGACATAGGACCAGTGCTCTTAGAAGTCACCTGTTCATCCACAGGGATGAAGCATGTGTGATTGTGTCTGCACTAATGTATCTTTGGAGGAGAACCTTTCCTGCTGCATGCCCCTCCGGCTTCCCTGATGCACAAGTAGCCAGTCAATGCAACACAAAAAAATGCCAGAGCTACTTACTGAAGTAGAAGCCCCTGTCCCCACAGACAAACTGCAGTGTGTCTACTAGTTCCCCACCACAGAGCGTTTCAGCAGTGCCATATGCCGACGTGGAGTCCACCGTGTATGCCAGGAAGGTGAGTGCGAGCAGCAGTATCCGCCTAGAGGCGCACATCCTCTGCACCTGAAAGACACAAATTCAAAATGTTAACTATGGTGCAGAACCCCACTCGAGTGTTCTCAAGGCACCAAGCACAACATGCATGTGTGCATGCACAGGAGAGCTTGTGACTGTTTGTGTAAGGAGAAGCATGTGCTCTTTAGCTTATTTGCGAAGGATTCAGACTCTTCTGACAGTGGTTAAAAACAAGCAATTGCCAGACAACATTCATCTTGCCACTTCCATACAGCTGGCTCCCGCAAAGTAACATCTCCTCTCAGTCACCCAGAGAAGATTCTGCCTCTGAGGGAAGTTCCCATTTTTGTCACAGCCAAGGACAGGTGGCCTTAGTTGCTGCCATTAGATGTTTCTTCTCCTTTTTGCTCAGCCAATCTCAGGGGCCGAGCTTTGAATACAATCTCTGGGAGACTAAAGGTGGGGTTACAAAGAGATCCCTTAGAACTGCCATTCTCTTCCTTATGGAAACACCACATTAGTCTTTCAGACACCAAAAGTTAGGGCTAAGGCATCATAGGTAGGGCTAAGTTTTCTACAGCAATAATTTAAACTGTGATTCTGTGCGACTGTTATGTGCTACCATTTCTCTATTCAACTCCAGCCATGAACCTCAGTACTGACCTGCTGTATCCCCCTCTATTCCAGTCCCAGGCCTCTGAGCATTGACTGCAAAATGTGTGAGGGGGGGAAGGGGAAAGTTGGTTGTGGTGGTGGTGGTCATACAGGCCAATAGTCTAGGGTTAAACAACCAACTAATCTTATTTTATTTGTGGCCTAAATCAAGATTTGAACCCAGATCTCCAGAAGGTTTAAAGGCCAATGCCTAATGCCCTCCATCACAAAGTCTGTACCTCAGGTTCCCCTCCCTAGCATGTTAGGATCTGATTTTGATTCCACATGGGTGTGTATGTAACGCCATTAAGTGCTACCATACACCTTTGGGTGGCCTTAGGCAAGCCCCTTTACCTCAGTGTCCCACTTTCAGCCTCTTTAAAATGGGCCTGATACCACCTCTCAGGGGTGAAGAGGCTAAACCCATGAATGACTGGAGACCGGGATACCTCAGTGATGAGCACCTCCAGAGAAAACCCGGATATAAAGCAGCATGGTGAATGTGCCTGCTGAAATCCAATCAGAACTGCAGGGGGCAAGAATGGCAAGATGGCAACTGGAATAAGGTAATTTTGAGGTCCAAAGTTAGTGCGAAAAAAATGCTGTATTATCTATGTACTACTTAGGCTCTCATCACCAGAGCATCTGAACAACTCTTAATTATTAATGGATTTTTATCCAGCTCACTCTGGTGAAACAGCATGGTTTTATTCCTGTTTTACAGATGGGGAAGAGAGGCCTAGGGTAGATTAAGGAGACTTGCCCAGGGTCACATAGGAAGTCTGTGACTGAGCCTAGAACTGAATTCAAGTCTCCTGAGTACCAACCCAATACCCAATCCATAAAGCCGTCCTTCCTACCAACTTTCATAGTAGAGTATCGCTCAACCCACCAGTGATAGAAATAATCTGACCTTACAATGGTTACTAGTCCCTTTTAGATTATGAACAAATAAAAGGCCATTTACCACGTGGGCCAAGCATGGCGGGGAAATAGGAAGGGGAGCCGAGGACTCCTCCAGTGTCATCTTTTTCCTGTTACAATTTTAATGTTTGATTTCTTATTAGAGATGGACCTGAACCAGAGCCCCGGCTCAGAACATCCCTGACCTAGTTCTGTGATTCAGGCCTCATTTCCATGACCAACACATGATTTTGCTAGCTTGTATGAAGACATGTTCTGAAGAAGCTGCAAAGAGAAAGATGCACATCCTATCCTCATTTGCTGGTCCAAACAGGAGGTATAAACTGATATGATCTGCCACTGTCCCTTGTAGTTCTGGCTTGTGCTCCCACAAGCCAGTACAGTGGGTACTCCTTGTTAGTCTTCCTAAACTGGCAACACTCCTAAAATGCTCCTATTGGAAGATGCTTCAGTTCAGGCCAGATATCCAGGCTGGCTTGTAAAATTAAAAAGATAATAGAGGAGTTTTTAAACTAAGGGCTAGGGGACAGCTGACAAGTGTGGAGGAGCACAAGGTTCGGACAGACACATCCCTTAAGGGAGGATTTATTAAAGGGGATACTCTAAATCCTAGTAAGGAGGAGAGGATAGAAGTTGATAAAGTACAGGTAGGAACTGAAGAGAAACAGTCAAACAAAAGAGTTCTATTCAGTTACATCATAGGAAGGCAGACAACTAAATATTGACACATTTTATAAGTGCTTGTATACAAATGCTAGAACTCTAAATACTAAGATAGGTGAGCTTGAGTGCCTGGTATTAAATGAGGATATTGATAATAGGCATCACAGAAACTTGGTGGAACAATGCTAATCAGTCCGACAGAGTAATGCCAGGGTACAAAATATATAGGAATGACACAGTACATCGCACTGGTGGGGGAGTGGCACTATATGTGAAAGAAAGCATACAGTTGAATATAGTAAAAATCTTCAATGAATCAAACTGTACCATAGAATCTCTATGGATAGAAATTCCATGCTTGAGTAATAAGAGTATAGCAGTAGGAATATACTACCGACCACCTCACCACGATGGTGACTGTAATTGTGAAATGCTCAGGGAGATTAGAGAGGCTACAAAAACAGAAAACTCAATAATAATGGGGGATTTCAACTATCCCCATATTGACTGGGAATGTGTCACCTCAGGGTGGGATCCAGAGATAAAATTTCTAGACACCATTAATGACTGCTTCTTGGAGCAGCTAGTCCCGGAACCCACAAGGCAAGGCAATTCTTGGTTTAATCCTAAATGGTCTAAGAGGTGAATACAGTTGAATTGCTTGGTAATAGCAACCATAATTTAATTAAAGTTAACATCCTTGTAAAGGGGAAAATACCAAAGAAACCCGCCACAGTAGCATTTAACTTCAAAATAGGGGAACTACACAGAAATGAGGAGGCCAGTTAAACGGAAATTAAAAGGCACAATCACAAAAATGAAATAGTTGCAAGCTGCACACCCCCCCCCCCCCATAATAGAGGCTCAAACTATATGTATACCACAAATGTATTAAAATAAGTAAGAGGACCAAAACATTTCCACCATGGCTAAACAGAGTAAAAGAGGTGGTTAGAGACCTCTTTTAAAAGTTAGAAGTCAAATCTTATTGAGAAAAATAGAAAAGTGCATAAGCTCTAGCAAGTCAAGTAAAATTAGGCAGGCCAAAAAAAAAAAAAAATCTGAAGAGCAACTAGCAAAAGACATAAAAACTAAAAACAATTTTTTTTTTAAGTACATCAGAAGCCGGAAGCCTGTCAAACAATCAGTGGGGCCACAGGATAATCAAGTAGCACTCAGGGAATTCTTTGCACCGGTGCCTTTATTGCCGAGGCTGTGAGGGAGATTCCCACACCTGAGCCATTCTTTTTAGGTGACAAATCTGAGGAACTGACCCAGACTGAGGTGTCAGTAGAAGAGGTTTTGGACCATATTGATAAATTAAACAATAAGTCACCAGGACCAGATGGTATTCACCCAAGAGTTCTAGAGAAACTCATATATTAAAATGCTGAACTACGAACTGTGGTATGTAACCTATAGGTTAAATCAGCCTCTGTACCAGATGACCTGCAGATGCCTAATGTAACACCAATTTTTAAAAAGGGCTACAGAGGCAATCCTGGCAATTACAGGCCAATAAGCCTAATTTAAGTACCAGGCAAATTGGTTGAAACTATAGTAATGAATAGAATTATCGGACACCTGGATGAACATGATATGTTGAGGAAGAGTTAACGTGGCTTTTGTAAAGGGAAATCCATGGTTCATCAATCTATTAGAATTCTTTGAGGGTGTCAACAAGCACATGGAAAAGGATGATACAGTGGATATAGTGTAGTTGGACTTCCAGAAGGCCTTTGACAAGGTCCATCGCCAAAGGTTCTTAAGCAAAGTAAGCTGTCACAGGATAAGAGGAAAGCTCCTCCATGGATCAGTAACTGGTTTAAAAAAATAGGAAACAAAGGGTAGGAATAAATGGTCATTTGTCACAGTGGAGAGAGGTACATAGAAGGGTTCCCCAAGGATCTATACTGGGACCAGTGCTGTTCAACATATTCATAAATTATCTGGAAAAAAGGGGAAAGAGTGAAATGGCAAAGTTTGCAGATGATCTAAAATTACTCAAGATAGGTAAGTCCAAAGCTGACTGCAAATAGTTACGAAGCAATCTCACAAAACTGGGTGACTGGGCAACAAAATGGCAGATGAAATTCAGTGTTGATAAATGCAAAGTAATGCATATTGGAAAACATAATCCCAACTATACACACAAAATGATGGGGTCTAAATTAGCTGCTACCACTCAAGAAAGAGATCTTGGAGTCATTGTGGATAGTTCTCTGAAAACATCTTCTCAATGTGCAGTGGTAGACTGTGATGGGGTGTTCACCCCACACCAGAAAGAAAGGGGTTAAAAGCAGCCTAGGGAGGCTGTACAGGAAGCAGTCAATTGGAGGGATACTGTACAGAACAGCCAATCCCAGTGGGCTCACATAAAATGAGTTGCAGGGCCAGAGTAAGTCAGTTGCTGCAGGGAACCCACGGAGGGTTCCTAGCAGTCTGTAGGAAGGTAGCACCTTGGACAGAACAATTGCTGGCAGGGAGCAAGGGAGCTCTTGGCTGGCTGCTGGGACTTGCGGGCTGGAGGCCCTGAGAAGAAGGCAAAGAAGGGGCTGGAGCCACGAGGAAGTGGCTCAGGGGACTTAAGCAGCACTGGTGGAGAAGTTAAAGAGAGGTAGCTGGATGCTGCTATCTACAGGGTCCCTGCGCTGGGACCTGGAATAGTGGGTGGGTCTGGGTCCCCCCACACTCACCAATGGGGAAGTGGCTGGACTGTAGAACTTTGAGATACTTCCCCCTGGAAAGGAGACAACACGGATGGTGACATAGCTGGAGGGCTGAGTCATGAAGAGGACGCTGTGGCT